CAAATAATTTTATATTACACTTGCAATGATAATGAGGTTTGCTTCACATTCAGCAAGTAGATTTTAGCAGATTCCAGTAGACGTTTGTAGAATTGAGTAGAATTTAGTCAAATTTAATAGATTTCCGTAGGTTTCAAATAATTTCAATAAATATCGGTAGAAGTCAGTAGATTTTCGTGGAATTCTGTAGATGTCAGTAGAATTTAGATTTTGGTAGATCCCAATAGGTTTCAGAATGCTTCCCATTCAGTAAATGTCTTAATACTCATGAATAGGAGTGTATATATATATGCGGGAAACGAAAATTTAAGTGCACGTTTATTGTGAATATATTAGTTAGTGCAATGGAAATGAAGTGAATGGTGGAACTGAACGTATAGAATCTTTCACTTAAATGAAAAATCTTTAAATCGAACACTTGAAGCATGACCACTGCAGTTTTAGTTATTTATGAGTGCAAGTCTTTCAAAAATGTCTGTGCAGGATTAACCTGAGTTCAGAAAGAGAGGGAGAGAGAGAGAGAGATTATGCGTCTATATAGTTCCAAATATAAATCGATAAGGGTGGTTAACTTTCTTGAAACTAGTCTCTACAGCACATAAAATGGAGCATAAAAATAATGGAAAAGTTTGTATAAATATTGTCTTACTTGGCCTTGTTTCCGAGTTATAGACAGTTTTATGTATCAATAATTCTCCTTACAAAACTCAGCTAGCGTATCGTTTTCATAAAACTTTATGCAACTTCTAAATGCTTTTTCATTAAGTGTCTAGTTAATTGTTATCAATCAAATAGTATTAACGTAGAATTTTTTTACATTTCGTCGTCGTAAAAAATACGCTGTGCAAATATTTTTTTTAACCCACTATACAATATATTTCGTTCATCCTGTTCGCCTTTATACCTCCGCCTCTTTTGATGACACAGAAAAGTGTAACCGGAAAAAGTGATTCTGTGCAGTGAAATGAACATTCTTGCTAACGATCTGAAACCTCCAAATCGCGTCTTTTTTTTTAGTCTTTACTGTTGTTACTGTATTATCGTAATTTATGAAAGATCGAATTTAAACGATACGTTATCCTTAAAATGTCCTGAAACAATGGAGAATTGTGATATCTAGAGGGAAAATCGAAAAAATTGAAAATCTCTATGAAATTTTAATTTTTTCTCCGTCAAATTTTATTTTCATCGTGTCCGATATTTGTGATTATTATTAAATGTTCAGAAATGGTTAAAATTACGTTATATATTGTACAATGAACTACCATTCGCACCAATTTCGAAGTCGAAGACAATTATTCTCGTTACACATACCTATAGTGAGTGATTAAACGCGGTTCCGTAATTATAGCGAATACTCGTAGTGTAGAAATGTAATAAAGTTTTGGTAATTGATTAAGTTGTCGGTGTGCCGACACTGTCGTGCGTTCTGTCAAAAATTCGAAAATTCTTCACAGACAATTTCATTCGCCGCTGGTTTCGATATCGCAATGATACGCTTCACAGAATTGGACTTCAGTTTGAAAAATGACTCTCGATACGAGGAAGGAATGTGGGTACCAAATTAAAAGATCGAAACGAGTAGGTAGACAAGCTAATTTTATTATTTTCACTTATTTTGTTTAAATTAAATTCAAACGACTAAGAAATATTGCTGGAATAGTATCGTAAATTTTTATTGTAATTTCCAATTCTAAAAAAGAAAAAGAAAACACTGAAAGCTACAAGTTGTGAGCTTTTAAGAAAGTTTCACCATAAAAAAAAAGAACTTCTAAATTGTTTCACTTAACTTATCTACTGGTTCTTCAGGAAATTGTTATTTTAAGTGTATTACATTTTCTTCGAGCAGTTAAACTTTTGTAATGAAACTTCGAAATTGTTATCTTCGTTATTTTGTTGTATAAGAATTATTTTAATGTATAAATCTAGGAGTTCCTTAAATGTTTTCATAAGTTTTACACGTTTTTAAGTTTTCTTTAATAGAACAAATTTTGGGTACTTAAGCTACAGTTCTAAAAGTGTAATAACAATGATATACACTTCCGTTCACGAGTATTGAGACATTTACTGAATGTAAAGCATACTGTAATCTACTGAACTCCGCTGAAATCTATGCATTATCATTGCAAATTGAATATAAAATTATTTGACTTACAAAAATCATTGCAAAACTGTTAGGATGTTAAAAGAAAAATTATTAATTCTGAAATCTCGAAGTATAACGAGTGCAGGTGTATATTTTGACTAACATATAACTTTGGCGAGGAAATGTAATTTAAATCACATCATACTTTCCACACGAACATAATGGATGTCCTGATACTTACAAACGACAGTGTACGTGTGAACGAATAAACTCAGTGAATTTTCACGGCGAGTGATAAAGATTTGGGTGTGAACGAGGAGAGTTTAAACCAAATATAAGATGATCCAAGACTTGCGGTGAACGAGAGCACGAAGCTTTTAGGAATGCTTATGTTGATTTGAACTGAGAGAAATAGAGAGAGAATGAGTAGAATCTGAAATAGCGGGAAATCTGTCCGCAAGTCATTATTGAGAATTAAAGAGAGTGAACGCTGAGATATACATATAGGGTGAGTCGATAAGAACTGCCACGTGGAATAACTCGTTATTTATTGACTTTAGCGGTGAATGTTTCATGTAAAATATATTGTACCGGATGGATCTCAGTGAATGGATGTATTTTGCTAGTTCTATGTTCCAAATTTTCTGAAATATTAAGGGGACCTTCAATTCTTTAAATGGAACACTTTATACATTTTCTTATATGATATGAGAATGATTGCATAGAAAGAATGTGACACAAGGATCTTCAAGATAATACAAAGCCACTATTAGTTGAGTGATGCTGCTATTTTGGCAAACGTTTCAAACGAAAGTTCACTCGAAAATGATTAAGAACAATTCAATCGTGAAGTTTAGGTAGTCTTTGTGACGATTTCGTACCACTTAGCTTTTTCAGTGTTCTTAAAATACCGGCATGTTTCAATCCTTTCTGTTCCTAGCTCGCCAATTGCCACGCTATTAAAGTTCATAACATCGAAAAATCAGCGCGCCCTTCTATGAATTCTGCCGGTACACCTGCTACTTTAATAAAACGTCGGTTCGCAAAATTTCACGAGCACAAAGAACATTTCCTTACATCACTTACTCCTCCCTTTGGACGATCTAATTAAATCTCTTCGGTGCACTTTCCGTTTTTGCCCACAACGTTCAGCCACTTGCATTCGGTATATCGCGTTGTAGATTCTCGTGGTTCGAATATTTTCCACCAGATTACAGCCATTCTGGGCGTAATTGTATTTAACGTTTACCATCCCTGGAAACATGGCGGCGTTATTGCTCGTAGGCGTAGGCATTGTTTACATAAACAACAGGTAAACAGTTTAATGATTTCTGCATTTCACATATCCATCCTAACGAGAACGCGCGCTCTTTTATATCCGTGAATTCATATTCAATTGGCCGCTCATTATCATTTAACAACCACTACAGATCTGCATATTCGTGTTTAGGGTCGGTAAAAGAATTAGATTCCTTTTGTAATATTAAGTAAAAAAGGAGAAACAAAATTGTTTTAGGGTTTGGCGGATTCTGTGATCGAAGCTGCGGCAAGTGTACAGCTATACTATTTTCTCTTTCTGTTACTATTTTCCTCTCATTCTACGCAATCATTCCTCAGAGACATTTGGTTCCGTCCACTCAAATCCTCGGGTCCCGTCGCCACGCATCATTCACGTGATATTCTCAAGTATAGTCGGTGGAAGAAATATCGCGAGATCGTAAATTAAAGTATTAAGTATATCAGTGATACCCAGGGTCGCGTACAGCATTATTGAATCAAAGCTAAGGCAGACTTCGTACAACCCTGACCTAAATTTTGAGCCCTTATCTTCTAAGGTTTCTGTCGATATGCTCGAGCGTGTAAATTTTAACACTTGAGTGAACTTACGACCTGGCTATATTTCTTCCATCGACTATACTCGGTCCCAAACACTCTTGACGTCTGAGCGGACCTATGTCTCGCTATATTTCTTCCACCAACTATACCGAGGCCCTAAGAATCCCTAATAGCCAATCAGCGTGCCAAAGGGACATCGCGAATACCTTCCCTTCTCTTGTGGAAGGGTGGCGATGGTTAATGCCAAGACTATACGGGCCAGTATGGACTCGACATAACAATAAAGTAAATGTAACGCATGTTTTTACGACGCCGAATTTTCTCTAGGTTCTGACCACTCGGTCTTCTGACTGTTATAACTAATTCCTAAATGACCCTTTGGAAATTCCCACTGTATAACACGTCTTCAGGATGTTGAGGACGAGAGAAGTGAACTTCTAGAACCTCTAGGATATAAACTTCAATTTATACCTCTAAATATAATACATTCTAGCAATAAGCTAAAAATCTTAAGCTCAGAAATAGCCTTTTGCTAAACTCATGTGACAACGCGTTACTTCAACACACTCTTCTTTCGTACTTCTATCGCTCTGACACAAACATTCCTCGATCACGCTTGAAACTTTAGCATACTCTAACTTGTTATAAACATTCACACGAAACTTCTATTCCAACAATATGCATAATACAACGGGTATTAAATGACACTAAAATTCGTCATCGCATCGACATTAAGATAATCACACAGAAAATTCATTAAATTCTTCTTAATTCTCCGTTAATTACAAAATTCCCTAATCCAAATTTCTTCGTATCCCACTTCGTATTTAACAAAAAAAAACACCTTTGCCATAATTTCACCAGCGTGCGTTCACCTCCTGCACCTACATAAATTCGACTGCTTCAATGCTTTCAGCATTCGAACGTTATATCATCCGTCGGCCTCCATTTGCGAAGCTGGACCAACGTGATAGCGATTTTTCGAAAGCATCGTTGTTTTAAACGATCTCGCTGCCGCTTATAGCCTTTGCCAATAAACGAAACACCCGGCGTTGTACATTTCTGTGTTTTGTTACAGTAGCCGAGGGCCCAGAGTTGGAAATAACACGTGTCACACGTCTCCACATGGGAGCATATCTCTGCATAGCATCGAACGGTATACCACCGGCAGTCAGCAAACGGATCGTCCTTATTGTTCACTGTAGGTACCTCGAATGTGTATTAAATAGTCGATATATCTATTGTTCTCGGGTGATATTATTATACAGGATGCGGCAAACAAGATTTACCAGATTATTTAACTTACTGTCGGTATTTGGGGAGCAGTGGAAATTTTAAAGCTCTCAGTTTGGTAACGCATGCACTGTAAACGTCACACACAGTAAAAACCAAGATGGCGGAATGGACCATAGAGAAAAAGCAAATTAAAGTGGTAAGTCTTTTCTACCGCATCCTATATTTAATGGTAGAAGGATTCGAGTTTCCATTGGTTTATTTTGAAAGGATCATCGTCCAAAAAGAGGGGAAGTTTGGGAATTGTTTTTATAGGTGACTACTGGATGGAAAGTTTCAATCTTATCAAAAGTTGAAAAGCTTTCTTCTACAATTTTTGAAAAGTGAAAATGTTACAAAATGGAGAAGTTGTTGCGAAATTTCTTCTGTTGGAACATCGGTTGCTGACCGCCATAGTTGGCAACGATTGGAATGTCTGAAGTAAAGAATTCTTTTTAACTTATGGATATAAAAGTATTATCTACAATGTAGCTCACAATTTTTCAAAAATTATAATTGGTGTAGAAATGGTGGCAGTTTGAAGAGGAAAAACTTCTTACTAAAAAAAAAAAAATCCACTTTAAACGTTTCTAAAAAATTAGATAATTGAGATATCGAAAAAATCTTATGCTTCATTATAGGCAATACATTTGTAGTTATAAATCAAAAACAGTTTTAAGTTTCAGACGTTCCAATCCTTGTTTTAACAAAAATTCGACGATCTAGCTGAAGAGGTTTCGCAATTAGGGAATAACTTCTCCATCTTGTAACATTTTGACTTTTTAAAAAATGGAGAGAAAGGCCGAAAGTTACATTTATACTCTCTGAAAAAATTGAAACTTATCGTTCGGTAGATACCCATTAAAAAAATTTCGAAATTTTTACCTATTTTTAGAAGCTCAGGCTGATATAACCCTTCAATCATGTTGACCATTGTAACCCTTGTTGTAAATATACAGAATCATTGAAATTCTTTTAAAATCAAAAAATTGCAGATGATACTTATTAATCAAAGTAATTAGTTTTCGCAACCTTTCTGGTAAGTCATTTTATTCCAATTGCTCCTTCTACTGTTAAAATACAAAGTGTTGAAAAGAGTAGTTTAAGAATTTGCAAGGATAAGTGGTAAGCCTCGGCAAAAGATGGTTGTTTGACGAATCTTTGTAAGTTAATCTCTTTAAAGTACGTTAGAATTCTTTGTTTTTATAATACTTAATAAAACGTAATCTCGAATGAAACTTTTAGTCATTGGATAAAAACCAGCTGGAACATTTTTCAAGTACGTGTATAGGGTGTACCAGAAATACCGAAAATGTATACTTCGCCTGAATATTCTGAAAAAATTTACTAGCCTAAATATTCTTGATATATTTCTAATATGACAGTCGGAATAGGTGTATTTTGTATTGGTGCAATAAGAAAATATACTCAACAAATACACAAAAAATTAAATTAATAAAATATCAGATTATTCTTGTGTATGGACGCGATTAAGTCCAAAATTTAGTCCAAACGTAGACCAAATTTAATATAAAGATTTATGAACTTGTGTTGATAGAGAAACATTTTTGTCGCGTATCTAAATATCTTGTAAAAAACATTCTTTACATTACTTGATATATTGTAAAATTAAAATCTAATTTAATAATTTTACTGTTTCTCACCGCGCTGAAAATATTCGTCGATAATTATTCACAATTAAAATTCCACTTCTCTGACGATTCCTATGTTTGCAAGATATCACTTGCGCATATCGTTGAGCAGAAAATTTAATCGGCTAGAAATCGGAAATTTTCGAGTGGAAAAGCGTCTATTTGTTTGTCAGCATGGCACAAAGGCAAGCAACTGGAAGCGCGAACAGTGCATTTATGCGCACGTGTATTGGAAAATGCAATTTAAGGTCTTGTCACGCGACCGTGGATCTATCGCGAGGGAAATACTATAATGACGCCACTTGGGAGATCGTGAATGGCAGATGTAGGGACCATTGTTTCCGGCGCTGAAGTAACGCCTTAAATATTTTCCGCCAGCGGCGAAGCTCTGCTGTCACGAACCGACCTGTCGACATTATTACAGATTGATTAAAAGAAAGCCTCTTACAATTCTGTTGAACGACTGGTCTATAGCAAATTTGCTCACGAGCACCATTTTTTTTCTCTCTTTCTCTCTTTTCTCCCTCGTTAATGCGAATCCCTCGACTTAATTAACTTTACGGTTGTTAATGGCTCGGCACATAAATTATTTCTTGAATATTATAAATTGAACAAGTTATAATTATCGCGTCACTTTAAAAGCTTCTTTCAATACTTCAACGAGTAGATTTGTAATTTTAATTTTTCTTTGTGGGATTTAATTGACACAACCGAGTCTTGCTATTAGGTTGGTGCATATGAAACGTCGTTTTTTCTGTACTTCTTGAAGAAATAATCATTTCTACGCGATTCTGTACTCTTTTCTCAACGATAAACTAGTTTCATTATTCCAAATTTATGGAAATCGTTAGTCTTTAAATTAAAAATTTGTTTTAATGCTGCTCTCACAGTGTCTTCATTTCGGAATAATTTGTGCGTTTGAAGAAATGATTGTTTGTTGGGGAGGCTGTGACAAAATTTCACATTCTTTACCATTTTCAATAATGTTTCTTGTAACGTTATCGTCGACGGCCCTATATGGTCTTCGTCTTGGCCCGTTTTCCAACGAAAAGTCACTAATCTTGAATTTTGCACACCAACGTTGAAGTATCCTAACATTTATGCAACCTTCTTCAAATGCTAAACTCATATTTTCAGCAGTTTTTATCACAGTTTTTCTAAGTTTAAACTTATATTAAAAAATCATGCGAATATCCTGATTATTTGAGTCCAAATAACTGTATTATTAATTCTTTTACTATTCAATGCACGTGTAACTTGCACATAAAAATTTACGATCGAGCAATATTTAATACACGGTATCGACCAATTTCAGTTGTTGAAAAAAGGGCATTACATTTGCACAAACCTGACATAACTGACAAACGTATCAAACCTACTATACCTGTAACAGAATATTCTTCAGCCTCACTGAAAACTACCCCAGTTTTTTAATATTGCAAGTGTTTCCTTTCGCCTTTTAATTCGCAGGAAAATAATTTCTGTACATTTCGAACTTGCTTAAATAAAGGGTCTCGCAAAGTATTGAGCATGCTCGCCAACCATGCTTGCAGAAGCACTTTATGGAGTGCTTGATGAGCACATTCGCTAGCGTGTGGAATTGACGAACGCTTGGAAAGCCCGGTTAGCGACGTATATACTCTTCTCGCTCGAAATTTCCTCCGAGCCGAGTAAGCTCGGCTGTGTATGAGCATTGTGTGCACGTGTTGGTTACATTCAGAAGAAAGTCTCCAAAGGAAAATCAGCAATTTTTATAAAACTTATATACGAAGTAGTTTAAAAGTAAATGCTTGACACGTATTTTCTCTGCGTTCCGACATTCACGTCGAAGGAACGAAAATAGCCCCGAAATTAAGATAGGAAATCTTGTTTTGTCAATATTTTGAAAACTATTTTAATTCACAAAAATATACTATACAACTACGCAGACGGTATTTTCAAAAATTATTGTATTGGAAATGGGTTATGGAATGAAATAGTCTTTTAACTTTGTAATATACGATTTATTTACGGTCTCAGAGGAAACGTCTTTACTCTATTGAATCTTCTGAAGGACTGTTTCTGGGCACCCAAAAGAAAGTTGGGGTCCACTTATACCTAGAAACTGTTTACATTATGGTATGGCATTGTGCAGTGAGTGACTCGAAGACGGACACCAGATGCATCTGGTGGAAGTCTTAGTGCCTTTGTTTAAAATAACCCGGAGCAATTATATTACTATAGAAATGAATTATTAACTCTTAAAATGATTGTATTTCTGTTTGAATAATGCATTCTTGTTAATTCCCGTTAAATTTCAATTATTCATAAATTAACAACGAGATTTCGACTCATTGTCAGATTAAGAACAGATTTTTTTTTCTTTTCTGTTTTTTTAGGATCCCATATTTATTTGCACCTATTATACACAATATTTAAGAACAGATTAACAAGATTTCAACTCAGATTCGCGACAGATTCGCCTAGATTCAAAACGGGAATTGGGAGATTTAATACAAACACTGATAACGGTAGAGTTGCGATAGAACACGGGCAGAGCACATCAGTATTGTATCACATCACGAATAAAGTGTACCACGGGAATGGAAGTTTCGTGTAAATGTTTCTAACGAGTCAGAATGTGCTAGAGTTTGGAGCGTGACCGAGGGATGTTTGGGTCAGAGCGCTAGAGGTGCGTGCGAAAGAAGAGTGTTTGGTACAGAGTATGCACTTGAGAATATCGTGTGAACGAAGGGTGCGTGATCACTCAAGGATGTGGGTGGACATGATCGAGTGTCTCCAGGAATGTCCGCGTAGAGTGAGGAGAAAATAGTAACCGAGAGGGAAAGAAAGACTGAAAGAATAAAAGAGTATGGAAGATACGTGCGCGAGGTCAGTGTGAAAACTCAGATTAATAAGAGAACAGTCCAAAATGAGAGAATCGTTAATAAAGAGATCGGTGATGAAAAGCACTCCTGCGCCTTTAACTCGTCCACGTGAGATTTCCCTATGCTAATAATCCCTACGCTACTTCTAACCAGGCTTGAGTGTTTAATTACAGAATAGTCGGCGTTTCGATATGCCCTCGCGAACAAGTGCAAACAGAACCTGCGAAATTCTCCTACGGTATAAAGGACACAACAGTTGCTTTGGTTCGTTGGATTTCAATTATGCGACTGCACTTTCGATCTTCTTCTAACCACTTGTTCGAACAACTCTCTTAAATAACCGCATATAAGCGGAGAAGTTCATCCTGAAATCGAAATATGTTTGCAAGTTGCTGCACAACTGCGAGCATGCGAAGAACGTGTTCAGAAGCTGTTGAACTTTTAGGTGCACAAGTGCACGAGTTTACTGTTACTTTCAATCCGATACCAGAATTATCTATTTACTCGGTTATTTTACTCTTCCTCTTGGAAGGATGATTGGCAGGATGAGGATTCTTAGAAACGTCTTCTTATAAACTTCGAATTAGATTGTAATAGTTTCTACTATAGGCTGTCCTGAAAGTTCCCGCGGTTTTAAGTCGTTCATTTCGAAAAAAAAGCATAACTCCGTTAAAATGATGTTAGTTGTTTTTTTCCAAATGAACGGTTTGAAACCGTGCGGACTTTCGATCTCGCGAAGTTATTCGATCAAGTTGGAATACACTTTACCATTAACTGATCGTACTCCGTAGAAATTAGTTTTGTAGAATGTATTTTGTAGAAATTATGTTTTTACAAGAAAAAATACTAGGGTGAGACGGAAAAAGTTTGGACTGTATATTAATTAAGAACCAACCGATTATATCTGTATATTCAGTATATTTTCGTAGATGCATGAACGTAGGAATTAACGCAGGAATTGTACACACAATTTCCGCCTCGGCAATACAATTTTATGTTACATTTGGAACATTCGAATGCCAGAACAGGGAGTTCAACAATCGAATCGTTGAAATCTGTATTTAATAATATTCCGTAATATAAAGGAAAATTTTCAGCCTTCTTTATCGGTAATTATGTCTAAGCGGAAGTTATCAGAACGAAATTCAATATAAGCTACTTTTGCCTACTGACATTTCAAATATAACATTTTTTCAAGTGTCGTTACATGTTTTATGTAAGTTAAAAATACAGTTGACACTAAGTTTTTTTTTTTCTATTTGCAAACGTATAAAGTAATTGATATTTGACAAAAAGTTTTCAGTTCTTCGTATCGATGAATTATGTGCAAGATATCATCAGATTTTTTTACGCAGTTCAACCTATGGTTAGGATTGAAAACCAGTTAGTTGGCGCTTATGAAGGCCAAACGCTCACCCTGGAATGTCACAGTGAAGCTTACCCAAGACCGATCACATATTGGACAAGGCCATCGAACGAAACGATCGCAAATGGTACGTACAAATGGTTCTTAGAAAGACACATCCATTTTATTTCCTAAACTTATTTATTTATTTAGACACAGCTGTAATAGGAAATAATAACAAACAGATGTGAAATTTTGGTGTCCTGTACTCACAATTCAGTTTTAACAACTTTATATTTTACCAAATTTAAATACCGTATTTTTCGAACCATAAGACGCACCTTTTTACATAGAAAAATCGACTTAAAATTGGAGTGCGTCTTATGGCCCGAAGGTAACATTAAAATACGAATCTTTATACTGTATCGAAGCTTACTTTAACAATAAATAAATTAAGTAAGAATTTGAAAATATCTTTATATACCTAATAAAATATTCTTTTCTAAAATCGTCCCATAAATTTGGGGTGCGTCTTATGGTCCGAAAAATACGGTAATTTAATGTTAATATCAAGAAATCAACCATTTCATTTGCCAGTACACTTTAAATTATACGTAATTTTTTGGTAACAATTAGCTGTATTAATATTAGATAATAAATATCACGATGTTTTTCAAACCTGTCAGGTCGTTAGATTTGCAATGCTTTGGAAAAAAGAGTATCTCAATTGGGACAGACATAGTAACTCGTATTCAACAACAGATATTAGCCCCTGAACTAACATAGCCGAGTTTACTCGTGTTAAATGTATCGAACAATAATGAAGTAAACCGAGTTTGTTTGCGTTGGCTCTTACTGTAGTGTATCAATATAATTTTGTTAGTTCGATTCATTTTCTGGTTCCTCTAACATTCGATGTAAACGAACATGTTTGTATATTACCACTAAAAACAAAAGAGGGAAATCGTTCGATCGCTAACAATAGGTAACCCACTTGTACATGTACATGTGTACGTACGTAGGTTGATCAAATATAAACGAGACTTCTAGCAAAACAACATGCGTTAACGATGTTATAGTGTCTAGTAAGCATGTCTAGACTCATCCGGTGTCGTTGTTTTCTTTGTGCGATTATTTGTTCAGTACCAATCATAACGAGCAAGGAATAGGTACGTAGTGCAACGCATTATTATTAAAGTTATGAGTAACGAAAGCGTTGAACCAACTGATATTTCTCAATCATTCTATCAAAATGCTTGTGCTTAATGCTGCAAATGCTCGATGCTTAAGTGCCGAACTGGTACGCGAGTTTAATCACACTTTGATTCGTTCAGTGTGAAATGCTAAGAACTATTTTAATTTGCAACAGAGTGATACTTGAGGTGATATCGCGACGAGACTATCAAAATACTAATTTGTGTAAGACCAACTGCTAAGACTGCCAAAAAAGACGCGCTTCTGCTTCGTTTCCTTGGTTTTATCAGCTCGGCCAGTTGCTGATTGGTGGCCGATTTCCTTTGGGGGGTGTAGGTGCTGACTCTTCATTGGTGGAGATTGTTTAGGTGGGACGCAGCTCCTTCCAAGGGAAAGGGATTGTCGCCCTTTTTTGGGGTTTTCCCAGGGGTTGCCGTGTGAATTTCCACCGCGCACGTGACCTCTTCACGAGGGTACGGTATGCGCGAGAGGACCGGTACCTCGGTCTGGCGGCCAAGTGCAATTGAATAAGTTTATGACGATAATCCGCCAGACCGAGGTTTCGTCGCGATTTCTTGCGAGGCAACAGTTTGTGTCACGTTTGTCAACGGATAAACGTAATGACAGAAAGAATTATTAGATCGTCTGAGTTCAAATAGTCATAACTCCGTCAAAAGTTAACATATTTATTCAAAATAAAAAGCATAACAATCGATACATATTTGCCAACGTTTCGCTAATTTTTTTATGCCATCTACAAAATAGCTACGAGGTCTGGAATCAACAAAGTCCACGAAGGCTTTTTCCACATCGCGTTCATTTCGAAATGCTTTCTCCTTGGTAAAATGGTTAAAATATTTGGACAGACGATAATACGTTGACTACGGGTCCGGAAAATAGGGTGGATGTTGTAGAGTCTCGTATACCAGGTCGTTTAACTTCTGCACTGTAATTAATGATACGTGTAGTCGGACGTTATCATACAAAAGAATTGGACTCTTTCTGTTGACTAGTACTGGACGGATAGCTGACAGATTTCGATGCATTTCTATAATCGTTTCTCCCTTTTTCAAAAAATTACGCTGAACAATTCCGTCAATAGACCGCCGAACAGGTAGCATTATCTTTTTCGGACATTCTTTGGGTTTTGGAAAGTGTTTAGGTGGTTCGTTAAGATCCAACCACTGCGTAGATCTTTTTGGATTATCACGAAGTACTCAGTTTTCATCGCATGTAACAATTCTGTCAAGAAAAGGGTCCTTAATGTTCCGCAGGATACGGGAAGAGCAAATGGAGGCACGAAGCATTCACGAGTCCACTTATCTATTTCCTTTGTCTTGTCTATGTTTTGTAGATGGCATAAATCAATTAGTGAAATGTTGGCAAAGGTGTATCGATTGTTATGGTTCTTATTTTGTATAAATATGTTACGTTTTGATGGAGATATAATTACTTAAATTCAGACGACGAAATCCGGAAGAACGTTCTGAACGACCTAATAGCTACTGTGTTTCGGGATTCAAGAGAAGTTGGGTACGTGGATTTTCCTCTACTGGAAAAGGTTAAAGCAGCCTATCGGTCAAAAAGACGTGACATTCCAATCTATAGTGTACTGCTTCTTCACGACAATTCCAGAATCCGTGTTTTACGTCCTACGTTATTTTCAATATTTATAAGTGGTTCACACGACAAATTAACTTTGTGTAAATTAGTTAAAGATAAATTTTATTGAATTAAATATACCAACATCGTCCTGACTTCTCAAAGTCTCTGCTATATCATACAGTTGTTCGTTAAGTCAAATGTTTCAAACTTTCCTCGATAAAAATGAAAATTCGTTTGGAAGAAATGCACTTGGGTCATTAGCGACCCAGATTACCTATGGAGGATTAACCTCTGCCTTAGGCAGAGGGTAAATCTATTACACTGTATCCAATCAGACCAACTTTTCTTTAATTGCTTCCGCTTATTGTCGTTGTTTCACTTCAAACGTAGCCTAGACCTTTCGTGATAGTTAGCGAAGGTTGAGCCAGATGTACATGCGTGCATAGTTAAAGCATGTGCGTGTCGCAGTGGCTTACAGCCCTTAGTTAATTGATAATGCAGCAGCACCGGCGAAATTAATAAGACATCGCGCGCATGAACGTGTGTCTTAACTACCTTTTTCTGTACACGAATCACGAGCATCTTTAACTGCCGCGAGCCGGACGGAAACATTCATTTCTGGATTAATTGATACGTCGACCGAGTTCCGAGTGCGGGGAAAAAACTTACCCCGTCGCGTGACAGAAACTCGTTAAACTTACGATTTGAACAGAACAAAACAAACGTCAAGGAAGCAAAACAGCGTTAAAAATTGGCAAGGAGCAGTGCAAAATTGTCCCCTTCAGTGATCGTTTCCTGAGGTAGCAAAACATTCTGCGGAAACATTAATAGAATATTGAACGAGTTTTAATGTAGGTCTGACGAATTTTAGTTCTTAAGTTCTGGAAGGAGTGACAAATAGTGATTAATTGTTTATGTTTATTCTCTCCTTGGGATACGTTCTTTGAAATGGATATTTTTGTTTTTGACGTCAAAAATATCGATATTCTTTTGCATTTCTGCACTCCTTATAGCCTGAAGGATATGTCTGTCAAATGATTTTTCGAAATTGGATAAATTGTAAGAGTTACGAGGGTTTAACTGACTCAAGACCGTACCTGACATTAATCTTCAAAAATCTTTAAACGCGGTTTTCTCGAAACCAAGTTTTCCAACACTGTCCCAAGATTTACTCGCAAACTGTTGGACCGATTGCTTTCCCCTTTATACTGCATACTCAGAACACATGTCCCTGTCGTCTTAACCAAAATTAGATCTACATTTTCGAAACTTCCTTTTTTTGCCATTTAAAAGTTGCGAAAACCACAAGAAAAAACGTATATTTCACTTTAACCCGGTGCCATTTTGTAGAAAATTTTTTTAAATTTACGACCGTGGTTGGAGCGATAATGACACTCTTAAGGATGAAAAAAACGTTTGGTTCAATTTTTTCTGGCCAAAATTAAAGCCACCGACAAATCAGCAAGGATGTTCGCACACCACGGCATATGACCCTGAATGTTGTAAACAATTCAACTATTCATTACTAATTTTACGCAGTCAAAAGATGAATAAAGGTATATACAAAGTACCAATACTGTAGCTTTTCTTGTCGCCTAGAAAAGAAATCATGAAATTAACTGAAAAATCAACCCTCTAAATCTGTATACCTACTGTATAATAGAATTATAATTCTGAAGAATGAGTAATTTGAGATACTTCGAAATACATATTCAGTTTGCTGTTGTACACATATACACAGGGAAATTCTGCGAGGATGATTAATTTAATATAACAATTGTGATTATGTACTTTATACTACTTATTTATATTGAAAATTTTGAGAGTGACTTGCATTCCCACATTCTAGAGTAGCACTGAAAAATGATCTTGTAGCAAATAAAAAGATCCCCTCGTACTGTATATAATATAAAATTCTGTTGGTTTCTATCTTTCATAGTTTCAGATAAAGTCCGTTCAATTTAAGAGTAACCTCGCTCTCGGACCGATTTTCGTCCGCTCTGCGCATAGACAGAGAGCGTAGCAGAGGGTAAGACGGAGAAAAACGTAGGCGGTTAAGTGGGGATTTGGACGTTCTACTGGTTCTAGCCCTGCCTTAGGCACGTCACATGCGCGAAACGAGGTTACTCTTAAATTGAACGTACTGTAGATTAACCTGTGATCATGCTAATGGAACGTACTTTATAGCGGAATACAGTTATAAATTATTTCTCCAATGAAATATTGATACATTAGTGGTAGCTATTATTGATCTTTGACAATTCTCAATGAAATATTCTGTCGTTGCTACCGTTTTCAATGAAAAAAATTAGTAAATTGTTATGAAATCAAACGAAGTAATATTTCAAGATTTCTATCATAGGATTTCCAATAAAAAACTCCATCAGACAAAAAACATTTAGATCTGCATATTTAAAAACTTGTTTAAATTTTTTAAATTTATTCTAGTCATATTACACACATCTTTCCACAAAGCATAACACACTTATTTTACATTCTCCTCGCATATTTCATCTACTCACAAAAAAATATCAGATGACAGAAAGATTGGGTACCTTGTATATTCAAATATACGAAAGAACGTGCGACCATAGGAAAATTATTACACATCAGAACGCTAAACAAACGACGTATACTAAATCCAGGGCAAGTACCCGGTGTTCTAGCATTGTCAGGCGTTTCAACTACAAACAAACACGATGGACATCCAACATAGACGTCATCTGTGTTACAAACAAAATGGCGGCGGTCGTGCGCATAATATGATGCATTGAGATTTTACTTTTACGATAACCAGAACATTCAGCGCGTAAATAGTCAGTTTACCGACGAGTGAAATTTATTTATTTTGTGTATCGTTTATTTACATATTGTTTAACCCCTTAACCTATGACAACGTGTCAGACTTGTGGCAGAGATTCTGGTCAAAATGTGACAAAAACAGTTATATTAGTAAGAAAAATTAATTGTAACACTATCGTAAGACTGAAGATTACTAAATGTAATCAATCTGTAACAGATCAGCTTTAGTTACCCGATGCAGTACTAAAACATTAAATGGCTGACGCTTAGGTGCAAAGTCAGAAAAGAAATCATAGTTTAAGGGGTTAAAATCGACATCGCTCTTTTTGGCGATTTGTGACAACGAAATATTAATTAATATTTAACAAATGTAATTATACAGTCACAGTTTATGTTTTATTTGTCTGCTTCTAGGTAACAACTACAAGGTTGAAACAATTCCAAAAGGATACGAGATAACTATGAGGCTAACCATCAAATTTGTACGACCTCAGGACTTTGGGTCGTTTCGATGTGTGGCGACGAATTCGCTGGGAGAAACTGATGGCAAAATCAAACTGTATAGTAAGTAAAGTTACAGCATTTTGAACGAAACGGATCGTGCCGCTCCGCAGGCATCATTACAGAACTGTAAACGTGCTTTTCTCGAAACAGCATTTTTCATCCGATTAACTTCATCTTTCACACACACAAATTCTAAATAAGATTCGTTATCGACTCACCGTCGTTTTTTAAATAAATTGAACCAGTTTAGAGTAGCAAAGGAAAGTGTACGGTTTTTTAAACGAAAATCACAACCCCCTTTTTTACAAATTGTTGCTGTTACCGCAATTTTTGTTTTTCGAAAGAAAACTTTCGTTAGACAAGAACTAGAATCCAAAAAAGTGTTAAAAAAACGGAAATTTTTGTTTCTCATCACTAGTACAGGCTGAATCATGCCCACCGTTTGGCACAAAAAAACTCGTTTTACGCCATCATACGCAGACGCTTTATTTCTAACAATTTTCAATTTTTTATTTCTGTCTTCTACTTTTTACACATGTACGTTTATAATACAAAAAGAATGAAATTTATTGGGTTAATAGCTCGTCCTCCAATCACTCTCAAGTATTGACTACATTTTGGTACAGAGAAACGTAATATTATGTCATACCTTAAATTCGTTCCAGAAGCGAAATATA